AGGCTGCTTGTCAGGAGTAGAATTGGCCAGGTCCTGAAATTCCTCCTTGGGTTCCAGCGAAATCGGCTTGGGCCCATTGTCCGTGATCAAGTGGAGGACGGCCCTTTTAGACACAATGGCAGGGGAGTTGGGAAAACGGACCAGGACATCGCAACCTTCAGCTTTGCCTGCTTGCAAGGGCCCCTGCGTGAAAAAGTCAACGCATGCGACCGGACCAGTTGGGCTTGCAGCAGCGGCCCATTCAAGCACTTCCTGTAGTTCCTCGTCAGTATGTGCCACCACGACTACTGACCCTGGATCATCAGGAAGGGCATGCAACGTCTTAACAGCAACAATGCGGCACTTAGCGTCCCAGCCTTGACTTACCAACTGAGGCTTTGGCTGTTTGCGGTCAGGTATGAGGGGCGCAGCGCCTTTAACAAGTTGTGCAAAGGTGGGGTTACCTTTAGGCTTAGGTTTCGGCTCGGGGCTGGCTTGAACCTTAGGAGCAGCACGCGGCTTAGGGACAGATCCAGGACAACCCGTTGTACCCGCACCAGAGGGAGCAGTGGCAGTCGTCTCCAGCATCTTTTGCAATGTGGATCGAATCTCTTCATCAGATGGTGATACCTGGGAGGCCTCAGCAATCGCGAAAAGCACTTGTAAGCGACTCCACAAGCTCTCAGGAGTTTGGGGCAGGCTTGCAGGAGCTGAATCCCGGGGCTGCGGCCGGGGCGGAGGGTGCTTAGGTTTAGGTTTCCGCCGGCGAGGTTTCTGGGGACCCGCACGTTGATTCTGCAAATCCTGGACAGCAGAAGCTAATCGACTTACAGTGGCAGAGAGCTGGCTCAATTGCTTTTGTGCACTTTTGCCCCCTCCCATCAGAGGATCCGGGGCCACATGCAGCGGTTTAGGCAGTTTCGGTCTGAACACTAAACACCACCACATCAGGAATCCGAGTCCGATGCACAGAAGGCGTCCTAGGCTTCGGCGCGGGGAACGATGCCGTTCAGGCAAGCGAGTCCTGTCAGCCTTGCGCGCTGCAATGACAATGAATCCTCCTAACTGCAAGGCCGAAGTGCTCAGCACTCTCCACCAACCAGCACTTGGTCTATGGCGGGAGCGCCTCAGGCGAAGCCAGAGGCCAGCGGCTGCCCATCTCAGGCTCAAGCGATGAGAGACTAAGGGCCACACCGCCCAACATGAAGCTGACAGGACGCAAGTCCAGCAGAGCAACATGCAGACATGAGGAAGGCAAATAACCCCGCGGCTAACCCAAGAGGCCAAACCACGTAACCTAACCAACCAACCAACCAACCAATGAACCTGTGCAATTGGAATCGCGCCTGAACCCTTGGCACCTGACTCACCTGCGGCATGTACCTGTGCAATTGGAATCTTGCCTGAACCCTTGGCACCTGACACACCTGCGGCAAAGACCTGTGCACCTGGAAATGCGCATGGGACGTTGGCACAGACATGCAACCAGCCGGTCACCGTACACAGGCAAAGAATCACCAGCATCTTCCTCACAGGGCCCTTGAACAGACAGCTCAGACCCCGACTTGGCCTTAATCCACTGCGGCAACAAAGGCAAGCGCAGCAAGTAGCCGCCACAAGAAAATTGGCCTGACAGCACGAGAAGATTGCGGCAATGACTCGCAAACAACCGGCACAGGACTTGAATGCAAAGATGCGAACGTCAGGGTCGGAACAAGTGCAGAGCAAGCACAGCAAGGCAAATGGGCTTAACACTCTCCACACCTCATCTGGGATCCGTGCGCACCTGGCCACGACACATCGCAGCCTCTCGAATTTCAGCCTTTTAATTAGCAGGCCACAGACCATCAACAAATTATGGCATAAGCAGATCCCCAGGAGAATTGCTTTTGCAATGATGCATGCATAGTCGGTGGAGGCCGTCCACCACCAATTGAAGTCGCCGCTGCACTCCAAGTTTCCTGCGCAGTGAGCCCAGATGTCAGCAGCCATTGCCCCCACTAAGGCACGGGCGCAAGCTAACTATCGATGCTCCGCTGCTGTTGCGTGCGACTTGAGCCAAAATGGGTGAAGAAGCACATGAAGAAGAACACCTCTTCCACGGCGGCCACCGGCTGGTAGCTTTGCAGGGCGCTTGTCACTTGCGTGAGACGATACTGCCAGGTCCAGGAAAGAACATGCGTCTGCTGATGGCGGTCCAAGCGAGGAAGCCAATCAACCAGGGCACAGCCTGGTTTGCCATCGCGTGGACAACGCAAGTTCTGCCCGATGGGATTGCTGGCAAGCCAGAAGCCGTCTTTCATGTCGATGAAGCTTGGATCTGATTTGCCCGTGCGTTCTGCGGCCAGCACAGCAAGGCTGTCCGAGAGCAGGTACCGCATGCTTACGCCGGCCTGTCTGCTTTGGGCAGCTCTCATCTCATCAACCTGTTCTTGCACGGCGGCTTTGCTAACACCAAGCTTGCCCAACCTCTCAGTGTACAGCTCGATTGTGCCTTCATCTTCTTGCCACAGGTCGCGGTACAAGCAAGTCATGACATTGTCAAGCTTAAGCCTCTTCCCTGCCCGTCGGTGTGAACAGAAGAGGCCAAGGGCCACCATCAAGCTCGCCACGCCGACTGCAATGAGGGGCAAATGCCACCAAATGCAGGCGTCCTCAGAGCCCAAGAGTGGAAAGTTGCATGGGACACAAACATCTGAGTTCCGTGGGGTGTATGAAGAAGCAGGGCAGGGCCTGCAGCTTCCGCGATCTTCTGTAGGGACATTGCCCGGACTGCAGAATTCGCAGTGCGTCGCACCTGCCAATGCAAACTGCCCGGCAGGGCAACTCTGGCAACCAAGCCTGTTGTAAGCAGGGAACCTTCCTGCCCGGCACGGTGCTGCTTCAAACCGAGTTGCGCCCACAAACATGTCGCTCATGCCAGTGACGGCCGAAGTGTTCCAGGAGCGGATGTCCTGGTTGAAGGCCTTCGCATAATAGAACATGAGGCTCATGCTAGTGACGGCCGAAGTGTCCCAGGAGCCGATGTCCTGGTTGAAGGCCTCCGCATGTGAGAACATGTAGCTCATGCTAGTGACGGCCGGAGTGTTCCAGGAGCTGATGTCCTGGTTGAAGGCCTCCGCATGATAGAACATGCTGTCCATGCTAGTGACGGCCGAAGTGTTCCAGGAGCCGATGTCCTGGTTGAAGGCCTTCGCACCTGAGAACATGAAGGTCATGCGAGTGACGGCCGAAGTGTTCCAGGAGCTGATGTCCTGGTTGAAGGCCTCCGCATGATAGAACATGCTGTCCATGCTAGTGACGGCCGAAGTGTCCCAGGAGCCGATGTCTGCATTGAAGGCAGTCATGTCTCTGAACAGGCCATGCATGTAGCGCACTGCGGACACGTCCCAGTCTTCAATCCGTCCGTAGACCGACTCAACCTCAGCTCTCTCCCAGCGGCCGCCGTCCCAGCGGCGAACAGCTGCACGGAGCTCAGAGCGGTTGCTGAAGCTACGGATGCACCAGCCGGGTACCAGGACCAGTCCCAGGAAGAGGATACGCATGGCCCATGTCTCGGCGCTCTTCTATGCTCTAACAAGGGGCTCTTCCTTCAATTGCTGAGGCGGGTGAGGGCTGTCACAGGAAGACCAACGCATGCTGCAAAATCTGCTCCGCGGCCTGGTATATGAAGCTGGCCAAACAATGCATCGAACTCCGACTCCTGAGCCTAAACAATTGAATCCTCACGTCCCAAACTGCTAGAAATCCAGATCACGAGCTCGGCACCTCCAGGTTTCCACTCGACCAGGCTGTCCAGAGGAGCCGTCCGCAAAAACACTTGGCTTAAAGACCTGAAGTAGACCAAAGCCCTTTCTGCAGAAAAGCTACACATGAGAGCGTTGGCTTGCTATCACAGAGGCAGCGGATTTCAGGTGCGAACTCTGGAAGGCCATACAAGTTGCTGTTCCCCATCCGTAGGCGTGCTGACACCTGCAAAGCTACATACCTAGGCGCCGAATTATCTCCGTAGGAGGGCCCCTGAATCTCTACTACTCAGATTCTTGGGCCCTTGACGTGTGGCACTTCAAGGGTCCCGGCATGAACTTCCCCGATGCAAGGGACCTACAGGCATCGTTCCATGCCCGCTCAGTAAGTGGCGCCGAACATATCTACGCACTTTCTTTCGGTCACCATCCCTGGAGCAGGACGCACCTACAAGAATCTGCTCTGGATTCTGGATCAAATCCTGGCCTTCCTATGAGTCCAAGCAACAGGGATGCAGGTGAGAAGGGCAAGCTGGCGGCAGGGGGCAGTGCAGGATGAGCGTGGCCTAGATAGTCTTTGGAGGGTTGTGTTGTTGTACGGAATTGTGAAAAAGCTGAGATTGCCTAGCCTTTGCCACATACGACGCTGCAACAAAGCCATTCTGAATGGAGGGCTTTTTCTACGAAACTGCCGGCAGGCAGGCCAGTGGTTTCACGTCGGAGCTAGTAAAACGAGAGGTCAGTCTGAGGCATTGCTGACCCAAAGATGTTAGCAGAAGTGCATCAAAGGCTCCTCTGGAGAAGTTGGATGCTTGGAGGCCTTCTCTCAAATCAGTCGAACATGATGTTATTGGGATTTGGGCATGGATGCTTTGGTGGTCAGATGCCTTCCGGGATGGACGTCATTATGGTTCGGCCATAACGGACGCTGTGGTTGCACAGTACGAGCGCTGTAAGATGAACGCTAGTATGGTTTGGGCATGGATGATCCGGCTGTATCCGGCACTTTCCAAGATGGAAGTGACTGGCATGGATGCGCAGGTCATCGTACACACTCGCGGATGAACATCATACGTAGCGTGCTAACACCTACTCTATATGCAGGCACCGTGTTCTCTAATTTCTGGAGGGTCTGAGCATGGCCCTCGAAGAAACGCGATCGACATCGGTGGATTATCTCAAGATGATGTTCCACGCGGAAGGCGACAGAATACAAGCGGCTGCAGGGGCTGTACTTTCCTCGCAGGAAGTGCTCAATGTTTTTCCTTAGCATCCCTAAGCAGCAACCCGTGGTAAACATGGTAACTGCTGATAATTCCCAGTCGATTGTGGACAGAGAGCTTTCTACGCCTTGCCTCTGGGTCTGACACAGGCATCGAAGCGGGATAAAATACATCAAAATGCATGTTCGTCTGTCCTAGTCTCTTCTGGAAAACTTCTTACACTTGTTCGTCGATATCTACTCACACGCTGGAAGGCGGTTGCACCAAAGTAACTAATTAAAGGTTGTGAGATGATATTTTTGGGGTATGTCATCGCATAGTGTATGTACATCCATACACAGATTGTACGACGATGGCTTCGCGCTGTTGCCAGGAATCGAACGCAGGGACTGCAGTGGTTCTATTATTATATGTTAGACAAAGCCAAGCCAACGTGCTGCCTCATCGCAACCCAGGAGTGCGGCGGCCCTGCCTCAGGGGCCCTGCCTCAGGTAGAGTCTACCCCTAAGATCATGCCTTGAGCCCTGCAACTTGGGAAAATGCCTGAGATTTGAGGCGGGTTAGGTCATACGTCGTAGGGAGATGAGAAAGATAGATTTGAAGACGGTGGGAGATGGACAGCAAGGAAAGTATCTCAGAGAATGTCACATACCATTAAGCAAGATGGAAGCAGCAGCACTGGGAACGCTGCCAGGCCTCAGTGGCCCGCTCGGCCGCCTGCTTCTTGTCGGCAGGCAGCTTCGTACTCTCCTCCAAAGCGGCACAGGGCAGCACTTGGCCTCTTAGAAGCTCAGCGCTGAAAAAGGTCTCCTTCGTCCAACTCCATCTCCGCGATTTCTTTTGCGATTTTTTTAACTTTGGACGGTGCGTGATGACAGCCACGCCGACAAACGCTTGGACCTTTTTTTAGAAAGCAAGGTCCGGCCCTAGCCCCGGCGTAGCTGATTGCCCTGCTGCGCAGGACAAAACTGTTGATGCTGCGGTCATGGCACGCGAACTTCCAGAGGCACACGCCGCACGGTGTGGTTTTTGTGCGAAACGTCGCCGATGCCATTCTTCGCGGGAAAAAGCCTGCTGACGCTGCACTTTTTTCCTGGAGACCTTCAGGAAAACTCACTTCCCCAAGCTTGCTCAGCCCAGCAACAGGCGCCACCATGCCTGCACAGCCTGCTCTCGCTGCTGAGCCCCCTGAAGTATCTCCATGATGCTGTTCAACTTCTGGAGCTCAGAAATGGCCTTTTGCAACAGCCAGCAATGCACATCACTCGCGGAACAGGCCCCCGCCGGGCTTGAAAGGTGGCCGCAGATCATACACCCAACCAAATTCGAGGCCTTTGGGAGGATTGCCAAACAACCAACCGTTGCATTGAGCTTAGCCAGCTTTCCTTCAGGTTGTTCGCAAGACCCTGGGTATTGCACTTTGGAAAAAAAACTTGCTGGATCTCGCCAAGTGGAGGGTAAGCATATGGACCAGAAGCTCTGGCATCAGCATCTGTATTTTCTCTGCCAATCCTGATTGACGTCATACCACATGATTGTTCTGAGCAACCTTTATGGTACTATCGCACCCTCAGCGACTCCACAAGGATTGCGCGCTGTGTTGCTGGAAACTATTATGCGTAGGCTTTGGAGATCGGGACCGCTTTGCCACCCAAACGGTATATGCATACATGTATACCAAGTGCATACATACGTGCATATCTATATCTATACATATACACAATGATACACAAACCTATAGATACGCATATGTATGTATACAGGTTGATCCATGACCTATTTTCTCACTATTGCAACAGCCGAAATTTTCATCCTCAGCGTAGCATGATCGGATCCGATTTTGACCTCATGGGGGGCTCAATCTTATCTAAAGGTTTCTCAAAAACCGGGTAGCGTCCGGACCTCTGTGCACCCAAACCGTGGGATCCTCGTTTACGGAGAGACACCCCAGAAAGAGGGGCCTGGAATGTTCTTGTTGGTGCTGTGTGGGTGCCAATCTCTACATGGTAGCTACACGATCCACCGGAATACCCCAGGACTCCCCAGCATAGACCCGTCCTGCTTTTTCTGCGACGGACGGTGCAGACAGCCGCCTTTGCAGGCAGAGCAGACTGCTTTCGGGCTTATAGAGCCTGCGAAATGACATGGCCAGCTTGAGAACAGCGGGGGATGGCAAGCAAGGGAACTTGCTATCTTTAAATCGGGTAGTCCAGAGGCTGTGACATATCATAGGACAGCGCTGTTGATGCTCCCGCTGCCCGGACACCCTGCTCATCCTCCCTGCATCCCACTACACCCAAGCTGATGCCTGCGCCTGCGACCAACAGGTCAATAACATACAAAGGATGAGCTGCAGTGAGTGTGCTCCACCGAAGAAATGTTGAGGCTGGTGACCACATTGTTCTCCTTCACGGTTTCCCCCAGTGCACCAACCCCTGGAGGTGACTTTCAAGAATCTAGAATCCAAACGGTAGAGAGCGCACAGTTTACTTCTGACGTTGGGATCGCTCATACATCTCCATGTTCATGCATTATACTGCTGGCCTTTAGTATATGCCTGTTGAACGCTGCTATTGGTTCTTTAACGTGACCTACAACAAGGTTTACAGGTCTGGTCCAGCATGATTCCGATTCCCTGAGCCCTGCCCCGCTCCATCCCGCGAATGGTGCGGTCCGAACCCCAACGCCCAGACCTCTCAGAAGTAGACCCTAAACCCTGAACCCTAAACCCTAAACCCTGAACCCTAAGCCCTTACCCCAACCCTAGGACCCCCCCAACCCCCTAAACCGCACTTCTGGGTGCCTGATCGTCTCGGTCGGGCTCCGTCCACGACCAACCCGCCTCCACCCAGCTGAAGAGCAGAAGAACCTGGTAGGACACGCTTCCGCCGTGCTAAATAATTGCAGATTAGGGGACGGGTTTGGGTTTCTAGGATTAGGCCTTAGGGTTTAGGAGGGTTCGAATTCATACCATATGCATAATACTGCATACGCATGTATATGTATATGTATATGTGGAGATATATGGATGATCTTGAGAAATGCCATTGTGGCTCATATCCGTCGTACATGAAGAATCCTATCTATGGCCCCAGACGTGATGACGGCCCGGTTTTGATGCAAAACCAATCCAAATCCAGGCAGAGTACAAAACACCAGTGCAAACCTTGATATCAACTGTAAGGAACCATATAGCGCTTTCCAACCCAATTCCATGCAAGTCCCAGGTGCATCACGCGGCGAAGAGGAATCCCAACCCAGAGTTTTGACACACTGGAGCCTTTCTGGCCCCTCAGGAAGAACAGAATCGCTTAACACACGCAACTCCCCATTGGAGCATTCGACGGGCTGGCATTAAGGCATGATTGCGCAGCGCAGAACGAATCAACGCGCAAAGTTACTACTACCGTTGTGTTTTTCATTGGGACACGTACTCTTACTCTATTGGCTATTGTCATACTATGTGCAATACTGACCTTTCCAGCAAGTAAGACTAGCTTTTGTCTCCGAGCTATAACACAAAAGAAATACAAGCTTACTCTGTGTTGGGGATGCAATCTCCCTTGGAAATTGCTTCTGGCCAAAGGGCTGAGGCAACAATACCTGCTCAGATAAAGGCCAGACGGTGCAACTCTTATACTAGGGGGTGTATGCATGCATGTCCGTATGCATGTATGTATGTATGTATGTATGTATGTATGTATGTATATATGTATATGGTGCTTATTCTATGTATTGCGTATTATAAGTGTATAGACCCTATATATATATATATGGCTATATGTATAAATAAGGGGGAGTTGCTACAATGGAATTTGCGGTCTGCATACTGGTTGTTGCTGGGGGAGTGAAGGAAATGAAGGGACGGTAGAGACTCCTACATGTTGAGGATGAGACCAGGTTTTGGAGTCTACACGGGCCTAGTCATATTTGCTTTGCACACCAGGGTTACGACTGCCGCCATGTGATGGATGATAATAATGGAATGATTGTATACGAAAAAACGGCATAGCAGTACAAAAGAAAGGCAACATACTTTGCATGATAATATAATATGATACAATAGCAGCCGGCTAGTGTATAATAGCAAGAGTTTGAGTGGCGTTGAGACATGTAGTGGTGCAATAACACCATGATATACTGGCGTCATGGTTGGTACCCTGAACCCCATGCTTTTACTCTTCGCACGCCTTTGCTCTCATACTTTGCGGCAGCAGAGGGCGCTTTTGGCACCGGGCCCGTCTATGGGCCAGCGGTCAGCCTCGGTTGACCAGAGCAGGGTATCCGCTTGGAGGTTCATGGGTAATGTTAAAAAAGGGAAATAAATAGGACAACTAGTAGCTGGTAAGTAGAAAGCAAGTTTTGCGTACTACTTATTGGTTACTAGCTGTCCTAAATCTTAAGTTCGGATTAGGGTACTGCAAGTCCACATCTCAGCGCTTGGAGACGAACAGGATGCCCCGCCTTCCGCGAAGCTCGGGCTCTGCCATAGTCATCCTCGGAGCGTGATGCTCCCATGTCTTAGGGTTATATTGAGATAATGGAAAATCAAATGGAAACGACTATAATGGCTTATATAGTGGGGGGTATATAAGGATATTGGAAAATAAAATGGAAGCTACTAGGGTGTTAGGCTTTGGAGGGTTTTGTGCTTCGGGCTGCTGCCTCACTAAAGCACATGCAGTCTGGCTGATGCTTTGTTTACAATAATCTTGGTAACACTCACTCCTGATACTCGAAACCCTATGACAGCTACCGAATAATTAATCATTGGGTCGATCTTTTGGCGTTTGGGCTGCCAACCACTCCCCACGTTAACTTGCACAAAGGCTCGCAATCCAAGTAAAGCAGCCGCAGCAGCTGCACCGCCTGGCATCGACAGAAAGTAGATCCCCCCTAAGGGGTCCTAGGAATTACCCAATACTAGTATTGGGTACCATGTTGGGGGTTCTACTTTCTAGATCCTCCCATGGTCTGGGTAATCAGTCAAACGACACAATCAGCAAAGCACAGCTGGGGTTTAAAGAGGGATATAGGATGAAATCAGGATAGGGGTCAAAAAGTGGCAAAGGGGCTTGCAAAGGCCCAAGGGTATGTATATGTATATACATACACCTCGAAAGCATCGATTCTTTTCCGTGCTGTCGTTCTCTCCGATCACATGATGCAACTCCCTCATTGTTGTCATATGAGTCCTGGTCATACGCGTATGTGGTATATCGTCATTGCATCCAGTCGTGAAAGCAGCGGGTTAATTGATATTCTACGCCATGCTTGAAGGCGCCATGGAAAACATTGCTGAAACGCTGCTAGTAGAATAATGCTGTTCATAGTTATCCATTTTGGCTACTATTATTGTTATTCCTTTAAGAGCCCTGAGCACTGAACACTGAGAAAGGCCATGTCTCGAAAACTTTTCCTCTAGACTTGAAGCCCTGAACCTTAAAACCTTAAATCCCGAACCCGCCATTCTCAACCCTAAACCCTGCATTCTGAGAGCTCAATCCCTAACCCCTAAACCCTAAACTATCCTGAACGCAAAGAAACCCGAATCCCTAATCTCAGCTAGCCTTCGCGATCCCTCCGGTTCCGCTTCTTGTCCTTCTCTGCCATCTCCAGCGCCGATTCTTAGGGCGGCAATGAAATGAAGTAAGCAGTTATTGCATATCTGGAGAGAGAGAGAGAGAGATGTGGAGTGATGTGAATGTGTATGTATACATACCTACGTATGTACGTATGTACTGTAAGATGGCAGCAGATTTAATAGCCCCACCCAATCTCCAGCGCTTCAGCCCTAAACCCTAGGCCCGAACCCCAAGCTCGAAGCCTTCTGACGACGAATGTGCACTAATATATGCAAGCATGCACATCTAACTTATACAGACAGACGGGCAAACCTCCCATGCAACCGTCCTAGCCCAAACCGAATCGTTTTGAATGCTTGGCACGACTTTACTTGAATCTTTTCGTGCCAAGTGTCTGTTGAACATCGTCCCACGCTTCTTGCGATTGGGGGCATTGGTGCTGCTTGACCTGGCGAAAAAAATGCACCACACACACAAACTTGCGGCATCACTCCAGCACAGCACCCGTGTGCTCACTCCCATTGACTTACCTGTGGTGATCTGGGAATGAAGGAATGGAAAAGAAAATGGAAACTACTAAGTATCATAGGGGTTATATAGGGAGTATATAAGGTATATAGGGGCGTTATATAGGGATCGTGGAAAAGAAAATGGAAACTAGTATACTGGGTGACATAGGGACTACTACAAGGATCCATTCCTTCATTCCTAGCTAACCAAAGGTAGGGTGAAGCATCAAGTAAACGCAGGAGCCCAATGCCTTGCCTCACCTGCCTTGCGAATGCCTCAAAGGCCTCTTCTTCTCAAAGTCCAGGGGCGCCAGGACATCTGAAACCCTACAAAACATATAATAGGGTTATATTAGGGTTATATTGGGGCTATATTAGGGGTTATATTGGGGTTATATTCGGGGAATAATCATAGGTACACCAGTAATGAGGTAGTTGTATTATCTGTAATAAAAAAAAGGTGGTTAGTAATTTTCGTAATCCGTGTGAGCAAGGAAAGCATGGCAGCGCGAAATCGGGGACCTGACCTGCTGCTGCTGGAGCTGCTGCTCGAGCTAGTGCTCCTGAGTCTTGACCAAGAGGTGCATCGGAGTCTCTCAAAATCACGGCTGTCCGGGCATTGCAAAAATCCAGGTCTGAGAATGCCCGAACATGAAGGGAGAGACGGGCTATGCAAGTCTGACGGCTCATCACGCCAAGTGGCTTCTTCTTTTTCTTCTTCTTTTTCTTGCTGGCTTTCTTGCCTGGACCCAAGCAGCAAGGCCAGCAAGAATGCGAAGGCCTGCCAGTCTCTGCTGCCCAGCGACTTTTTTTTGAGCCGCTGTCGCTCCTTCACCAGTGGATGAGGTTTTGGATTGGGCTGGCGATTTCTCTTTAGAGGAGGGTAGATTAAGTTTTCTTAGGCTTAGGACCAACCCTGCAGCATGAAGCACCAAACCCTTTCGGCTGCCCAAACCCTAACCCCTCGAGTCCTGAACCCTAAGCTCTGCCAAGGGAGTGGCAGAACCAAGTGGGGACCCAACTGCAAGGCACCTGGTCCTGCCGGCATCCTTCATGAGATCAGCCAGCTTCCTGGAAAGCAAAGCTGCTTGCAAACAGATATGACATGACTTACTGGTCCGTAGCAACTGAAGGAAAAGGACGATGCATAAACAGCTAGGAACCACAAGAAGACGAAATCCATTTGTATTTCAGCAGATCATATTGCGCATACAAGCATATCAATACATATATATATATACACATGTTTATACGTACAAACACTTGTACCTGAATGTAGCCACACGCATTCGCCCATGCATGTGCCATTGCATGCAAGTGTGCTTCCACACGTGAAGGTCTAATCATTATGCTTATGCATGTACAATACATGGCCATGGGCATTTGTGTATATTTAATAAAGGCCGTTATCCACTGCTATCATGTCTGGACTTGGCAAATCATGTCTTCATAGATTACATGCACACACTACAAAGTATGTACGCGGTCCATGAAGAACCCATCACTTGGCCATTTCATTTACACAAGCCAACTCACACTGAGGAAGCTGCTTGTCCGGATCATCCGCCTCAAACAAGAAGGTCGGTCCATGGAGATAGCTGTCAGAAACAAAGATATAATTTAGTAGTTTCCATTTTCTTTTCCATTATCCCAATACAACCCCAATATAACCCTAAACATAACCAAAAACCCAAACCCCTCACCCTCAAGGTCCTAAAGCCCTAAACAACACACCCCTCACCCTGTAGACCCAGAACCCTCAAGGCCTTAAGGACCTAAACCCTAAATCCTAAGCCCGAAAGCCCAACAAGAAGGATGAGCTCCAGGCAGCTGGAGTGCCTAAGTTCTCCGCCTCACGCTCAGGCACATGCATTGGGTACTGCCCCACTTTGGGTTAAGGGCTCCAAGAAATGGTACTATATCTATAAGCACGCAAAGACTCGTCTAATCTCGTGTATATACTTCTATATCCATTACCTCCATCAATCCAATTTGAAGATTGTTAGTGAGTGGGGGGCAGCGTGCAAGAAATAAATGATTCACTGGGGTCAGCTACCGCAAAAACATATGCGCTGGCAACATCGCTTAAAAAAGGAGGTTGCTATACTAGGGCGAAAGGCCTGGGGGTTAACATCTCACTGAGTGTCGTTTTCCGCAAGGTTGAATCTCCTCGGAACAACCTACTTCGTCCTCCATACAGGGGTCGTGCAGGAACCCCGGGACTCATGCTTCTCTGCCGGTAGCCTCGTGCGCGTAGATAAAAGTAGAACTGAATAATCTAGTTCCTGTGTACCATAATATGGACCCCTTCCTCTCCCCAAAGCGAACCCCATCTAAAGAGACCACCACCCTAAATAGTAGTCCCACTTTCTTTTCCATTATCCCTATATAACCCTACATGGTCCCTAAATTGGTATATGGGTATTCCTCAATATAACCTTTATATAATCCCTTAAGGGGTGCCCTATATAATCCCCTTATAATCCCTCTATACCCTTTGGGGTCCCTAGGGCCCCCCCTTTTTGAGAAACTCCCAGAAACTCCCTGGGTGCAAAACGGGCCTTGCAGAAGACCTTCTCGCCTTCAAGGTCTTCTGCGAGCAACTTGCACTCGTAGGTGGCAGAGGCGTCATCAAATGATACTATCTCCTTTGCCAGGTTAAATAGGGGTTATATAGGGGGTTATATTATATTGGGATAATTCAAAATAAAATGGAAACTACTATTAAGGGTTTAGGGGTATATTTGGGGTTATCTTTGCCAGGTAAACGGTTTAGGGTTTAGGGTTGAAGGGTTTAGGGGTTATATTGGAACAATGGAAAGAAAATGGAAACTACCTTATACAGGGTTATATAGGGGTAATACTAGGGCTATGTTGGGGTCATATATGGATTATATTATATTGGGATAACGAAAATAAAATGGAATTTAGGGTTTAGGGCTTCTCCAGAGGCATCTGGGAAGATGAGGGATGAGGTGTTTCAAGAACTCGCAAGAAACGCTGTTGCAACTCAATACCCTGGATGAAGGGATTTCAACATCAAAAGTAGAGACACCAGGGCTGCCTGACATATGGTTCGTCAGCACACTGACTGGTTGTCCTTCAAGGGTTAACCTTAAACCCTAAACCCTAGATCCTAAACCCTGAACTCTAAATCCTAAGCCCTAAACCCTGTATCTGAGCACATTTGTCGGGTATTTAGCCTGGGCTTCGTTTGGGACGTACCGGTTATAGAGTGCATGCCCTACCTGGGGCCACATATCACATCCTTAGCATTCCAGAAAACTGCTTGGGATTATGCCACAAAACCCTAGACCCTAAACCTATGAGCCAAGTGTCTGCTTCTGCTCCCTCTTTCCCATCGATTCCATGGATCCTGGTTTCGGGCTTGCACGGGCTTAGATGTTCAGGTGTGTCTAACGCAACAGTTCAATTGTTGCTAGGCAGTCTTTGTTTCGGGCTAAGATGTTGCAGTAACTGTAGGGGGGTATAGGGCTCTTGGAGTGTCTCGAGAGTTCGGCGCTATCTTCAGTTTCAAGTATGGCTGCCCAGGCACACCACACGAGCTCCGATCTCGAAGGACATCCGCCTGCTAGAGTAACAACCAAGTACAAGCTTCAGCATGATAATTACGGGAGTACTCAGGAAAAAAAAGCAAGGCATGCTCATCCTAAGGTGAGGGTTTCGCAACATTAGGGTTGCCGCTTTGGGATCCCTAGAAAAAAGATCTAGAACGGTCTGGAAGATTCAGGGGGAGCCCTGGTTTCGAACTCGTGTTGCAAAATAGACTTCTGCGAAATGCCTTCGCCGACCAACATGTGCACATTCTCGCCGAACTGCTCGAGCATGCTTCCACTCGAACAACTTCGTTTCTATAGTGTACCATACGTTGTCCTCATATGAAGTCTGCTACTTGAAGGTTCCCACATGCGCATAAGTAGTATGGAATATGCATGTTCTCCACTGCAGTCGCTAAAGGGGACTGCATGTAGCAAAAGGGGTCTGCACGTTATCGCCTCCTTCGCAGGAAAGTGGTGACAAGACATATCACAAGCAACATGCAGACGAAAACGGCGATGCATGTCCCTTGAATCTCCTCCCCTTATTAAACTTCCCATCCCTAATAATGAAGTGATCCCAAACCCAACCATACCCTTCTATCCTAGGAGAAAACTTCGTATCGTGACGGGGCGGCAGGGTTAGCTATAAGGTGGTGATTAGTTGCATTGGGCCTCGCCGGCGTAAAGGTCCACACAACTCACTTGAGCCACGCAGCGGTTCAGCGAAATGTAACTGCTGAAATGGGCGGTTTCTCAGATCAGGGGGTTTGTTTGAGACCCCAAGGGGTCATAAGGGGACTATGGAGTATAGGAATGGAATGGACAACGGAAAGCATCATGATGTCGTAGGTCCATGTGCTTCTCCACTGGCAGTGGAGGAAAATGGAAACCATCATCGGTCCGTCGCCAGCCGTTCCGGCAAGAAATGGGAATATCTCATGGGTGCCCTGAGGGACACTTGGGATATGTGATGAGCAAGCACTACAAGAGAAATCGCAGGCCCTCCTTACAGCTTCCAAGAAAAGGGGCAAGTTTTAAGTCCCTCCAGTTGGAATCTAGGGCTTAAGGCAGTTTAGGGCTCAGGGTTTAGCGCTAAATCCAGGAACTGCTCCTATATTGAATAATTTCCACAATTCTCACCCGACCCAATTTATTCCCCGGGGATGAGGTATGCTGGATAGGACAGACTGACCACCAGTCTTACTTCGGACCTAGGGTACAGCTGGCAAAGCGCGAGCTGCAAGCGGAATCGCGTTTGTCACCTTCCTTAACCCCACTATCTACCCTATAATAATATAGTAGTTTCCATTTTATTTTCCATATCCCAATATATCCCTGAAGTAAGAAATTGATACTGCCCTGCTTAGCCAGACGTTTGAGTTTTCTGCCGCTTCAGGACTTCCGCGCACCCAGCGTCAGCGGCCGAGACAAGAGCGCGCCGCCCGCCAAATGTCTGCCAAAAGGCCCACCCCAAGAAGAAACATGCCTTCTGCAAGAGATTTGACTCCCCAGCCAACATCTCGCCAAAACAGCGGAGATACTTGCACACCGGTCAGGTCCAACGTGCTCCATGGCAACAATGACCTCGCGATTTGTTTCTAACCCCTCTGGAAGCTCAAGATGTGCTACTTTGACGGGACATAGGAATGAGCCCCGGGAGGAAGTACTCCATCATCAAACTGGCCAACAAAGCAGGAGTTTATAACAGCTCTGTTCTACCAATTACCTTACAACAACTGAAGCAAAACTGCTGGATGAATTGCCAGAAGAGCAGCTGAAAGAACCTGGGTTGCTGTTCAGGAACTTCAACTAAGTTACCATAATGGGTATATATAGTACGTAATTACTATGGTTTCCCCAATATCTGAATTGAGTTCCTTAACAGCAACCCAGGAACAATATGGCCGGTGGGGAGTGCAAAGACATGTTCGCTGAAGCCTCTCCGGGCCTTCCACCCGCAAGACCATCCTTGCCAACTTCTCCCCTAGGGTTTAGGGTATTTTTTTTGTTGGTGTTTAGGGTATTAGGGTTTAGGGACCCCCCCCCACCACCCCCCTAATACTGGATACCCCAAGTAAAACATACCATCAAACAAGGGGGATATGGCGAAGGGGGAGGGGATTAGGCTGCTACGGTCTGAGTTTGTTCTTCTAACTCGTTAGAAGGAGGATCAAATGGGGAGGAAAATGGAAAGGTGTTGCCACTTGCATGGCCAGGATCGCGTGAAGTAACAATGGCAGTTGGATTTGGGGCTTACGGGGCTTAAGGACGGAGATGGGGAAGGAGTATTGTAACTGTCGTTGTGTTTGTTCCTCATTATCACCCTTTGAAATGACAGCCTACGTGTTGATACATATAAATGTATGCATATATACATATATACACGTATATGAATTCATGTGAAGGGGGTTAATGCTTCAATCCCTGATAACAAGACGGCAAGCATCTCCAGCAAAAAGATTCCTTGGAGGATGCAGCCTGGCCGTCAGCGCTCTGTCCATCAGGGCGGGTGCAGCAGGAGCAGAATTCCTGGGTTTGTGGTATAGGGTTCCAATATTATGGTGCCTGTAAAGAAATTATTTAGGGGATGTCCCTGTACCCCCATGACTGGGGTAGGTTAGGGGGACGTATATTCTTAATATTTGTGCTTCATGCGGATTATACACGAAGTCCGGGCAACAAAAACATAATATGTACTATCATTACTAACCCTGCTAAACCAGATTCTCGGCAGTGTCCGGCAGGAGGTCGTCGTAGTCACGCAGAGCTTGACCCGCGGCGAAGCCGCTGTCCGCCCAGGCTCTTCGGGTTGCCTCGATGTCTTTCACAAAGACCTGGGGAGCTTCGACGTACTTTCTTCTTACAGATGGATAGAGCTTGTGTATTCAATGCGTGTGCAGCAGTATATGAAGACACAGATCGACATCACTGGGAGATAATGTGGGGATTTCATGTTACGATCAAAGTACTGAACTTTCTGTGACTTGGAAGGGATCACTTTGGAAATCTACCGACCTCATTGCAGTGCAGACGCACCCATCGAACGCAGCAGGCATGCAACCATTTCACGCCATCTTTCCAGAAAGGACCGCAGAGCTTGGCGTAGGCGATACAGATGCGCCCATGTGCTGCTGCGTGCTGGCTGTGGCGGAAATCCATAGCATTCGCAAATGGAGGAGATGCAAGCAGCTCGGCCCAGGATTCAGAACCATTGGGCTTGGACTGCATGTTTACATCGCACTGGTCCAAGAGAGGTCGTAGGCAGCCCGGGAAAAATAGCAATGCTCTTAGCAAGCGGGCATGCGCGCGCATGTCCTCGTCCCATTCATCATCCTCCGTGCCCTGGAGAAGGGTGTCCAAGGAAATGCTGCTCCTGTCCGCTCTTCATGGTACTAGTTGTAGCATAAATACCCACAAGGCATACGATCTTCATACACACGCATATTTCCACATACATTTACATGGATAGTTATCTGCATATATATATATACATACTTATATATATACACATATGTCTGTTATATATATATATAGATGCATACATCTAAATGGATATCTGCCTACATTTCTGTCCATATATATATACATGTTGCTATACACGGAATTCCTACCCCAAAGGGTCCATGTAGGTATATGGGATATACTTGGGCCTTAAAGTAGGTATATGGGAATCCCTTTGGGCCCTAAGCATATACCATATACCTACATGAACCCTTTGGGCACTGTACTCAAGAGCTGAGGTTCAAGGCAGCCAGATCCGGGGCTCCCCGAGCAAGCAGGGTGCAAAGCGCCAAGGAGAAGGCGATGTTTGGGAAGGCGTAGTCCAGCCTGCGTGCAAGGCTTTAAGGGAGTCCTAGGAATATGTACAAATAAAAAGTAAACATATATATATATATATATTTGTTAAAAATGTGTGTGTGTGTATATATATATACATATATATAACCCTCCTAAACCCAAAATCCTAAATCCGAAACCTGTATATGTGTATATATATATATACACATATGTGCATATGTGTATCTTAGTTTGAAAAGGCCTTGGTGGCTTGAGGTCTATGGAACCCTTTTCCAGGGCCAACATAAGGATCTACGATAGCTTGGGGTAGGCCACAGTAGGGTTTGGGGTTCGAAATGGACCAAGAGAGGTTGTATGGGTTATATGGGGATAATGGAACAGAAAATATGTAAGGTTTAGGGTTCAGGACTTCAAAACTTGCTTAGCCCAACCATCCGCAAGGAATTAATCTCGGGGCCGTGGGTGGAGGAAGTATACTAGAGACTCACAATCCCATAGCACATGCAATGAGGGCTTAAAGCTTTTCTGGATTGTAGGATTCAGGGCGCCGTCCGGCCTTTCAGCAAAGGGCAAGGCGGAGCAGCTCGTGAGCCCATAAACCTGGGTTGCTGCTGAGGAACTTACATTAACTTACCAAAAATAGGGGTTATAGGGGTATATAGGGTTTAGGAACTGAAGTTAAGCTAGCATAATGGATATATATATATACATATATATATATCTCCTCATTAATACGGTTTCCCCACTATGGCTAAATTTGTCCCTTAACAGCAACCCAGAAACAGTCGGCAGTGAGGTCAGGTCATGCAAGGCTTGAAAGCTCCGGGATCGCAGGCACAGATAGTCGAAAAAAAGGAGGCTGCAAACTGGATCCCGCGGCAGCGTACAAGCCTCGAGTTTTTCTGTTGGGTTGCTGTTAAGCGACTTAAGTTTTTACTATGCTGGGGAAACCCTATTAACTACTGTATATACCCATTATGGTAACTTAATCTAAGTTCCCCCCCCCTAACCCCATACCCCTATGCCCAGTCTGTAGCAAGGGGGGGAAGCTAAGCCCAACTTTTGAGCTATGGGATGCAGATGAAGCGACCTGCAGCAAGAACCCTGAACCCTAAAACCCTAAAACCCTCAAGCCTAAACCCTGAACCCTAAATAATTGATAGTTTCCATGTTCGTTTCCATTATACCAATACATCCCCAATATATCCCTTATATACCCAAACCCTA